TACTGCCTATAATATACGATCAATTACAACAAGAAAACGATGAGATCTTTTCGTGTGTCACTCACCCTTTTTATCTAGTATTTATTATAATTTATTTGCCTTTTATTCCTATAGCCAGCCAGAAATTTGTTACTTCCGATACCCGCAGCTTCCTTCACTCTCCTCTTTGTCTACCTCCAACACACACACACATTTACACATAAATTTTCAAGGTTACTTTCTTTATTATTAAGTACTGCATTCAACAAATAATAACAACAATACTAACGATACAGTAGGAGTCTTGTTTTCGGACAATATCGAAAACAATCTATAAAATATATTTATGTGCATAATTATTTCATTCTCTGTAAACAGTGGAAGTTTGACATTTATCCGGAAGAAATACAAACTGAGAATTTATTTCTATCTAAAGGGTTAAAACACAAACAAGACTTCAGGTTAACACATACAGAGAAGACGGAGGCGATGAAGATAACCAATTAATCAACTAACCGACCAACCAACAGCGACAACAATCAGCGCCAATTACCATCAACGAGAGAGATTTGAAAGGGAATGCTTCCTGCCCTCACTTATCTAGGAAGCATTGTTTCAACCACAACAGACAGGCAGAACGGATGAAGAAGTCAAGGACAACAAGAATTGAAAAGGCAAGATACGCCTTCACCAACTTGAAACCAGTTTGGAAATCTTCTACACTCCGCTTCAGCCAGCATAAGGAACAAGATTCAGATTTTCAGCATCAATATTCTTCTTCTATAAGGGTGAGAAACTTGAACAGCGTGTTATGAAAAGCATTCCCAGCAGTTTGAAGACTTCTGTAGACCTTCACTCCATATTAAGGACCAAATGACCAGAAGGTATTCGCAACAAGAAACTCTGGCTGGGAACAAACTAACCAAAAGCCGACTGCTCAACAAATATGTAGGAGGAAATGGAGATCCATTGGGAACACACTGGGGAGACCGTGGAATGACACCACGCTCAATGTAGGCCATTGCTCGAGTGACACCCGGATGGGAAAAAACGGGTGGGGTGTCACTTCGAGGGCAACGTGGAGGAGATGAGAGATTATGGTCAAGCGTGGGGTTAGCCAGCTAAGGAGGACGTCAGAAAACAGAACAAAGTGGAGAGGTTCTGCTGTTGAAGCCGTATGTTCCACTCAGAATCCAAGGGGAACAATAATAATGGTAATGGTAGTAGATCCGTTTGTTTACAAATGATATCGATTGTTTCCATCAGTGGTACGTTTGTAAACAAGGAGGTCACGTTATACGATACGGCATTATATGATCGCCTAAATGAGATCCATCCAAACATCAAATTCACCATGGAATATGAACATAATGATGCGTTCAATTTCCTGGATCTAAATGTAAAAAGAACAAACGAAGTCACGATCGGAAAGTCCATCTATAGAAAATAAACCTGGACTGGGCAATATCATACATATTGTTGATACCGAGCATTTCGTAGAGATTTCTAAGTCCTTCAAAATATTAAATAGACAAAAGACAGCAAATTTACTACGATTTGCCGAGGCGATTGCAATCAAACGATTCAAACCAACCAGACTTATGCAAACAGAAAGAGAGTGTGATTAACCTCTCACTACCTTGGTAACTGAATTTTCATTTTGAACGCATTAATTAGTCATCTAATTCAGTGATCTCAACTCACTGAACAAATTTTAATCTCATAACCTATAACCGTTTTTTTGAGTTGCTTTGTGAACCTACAAGCTAACACTATCTTGTTAATTAATTTTTTCTGTTTTCTGTCTTACCCCTCTCCCTCTTTTCAACTTTAAAAGCGTATAAATTAATGATGAAAACTTAAACTAAATAAATTGTAATGCTTTCATTTTAAATGAGTCAATTTTATAGTATCCCTTCTGTGCTACCACTCAAACATTAAAGTATGTTATTATCATCTATATAACAATTGTAATTTCAGGTAGGGGTGTGCAGCTGTTGAGAACCTGTGAAATAGAATGACGATATCATTTTATACAGCAAATTTCGTCTTCCTTTCTTTATCGAAATTTATCAAGGGAATCAAATGTAAAAAGAGATTGATTGAAAATACGGTGAAGAAACCGTTGAATATCATAACATGCCAGATATTCCAGCCTTCGAGTGGAAGCCGGGTGGAAAACGACGAGTTGATGGAAGTGTGCCAAAGATGACATGTAGGAGATAGCATGTTGGGGAAATGAAAACGCATTAACCGCCGTGGAGTCAGCTAGAAAAAGCCTGCAAAGAACAAAATGAAATGCAGATGTGCTGTTGAAGTCCTATGGTGATCTCGGAACTCAGTGGAATAGTAATAACGGTAATACAATGGTAGTTTATCAGAGTGAAAATCCGTATTGGCTTGACTGGTGGAAAAGTCATCAGCTGCTACACATCGAAAGGACTAATGGTTTGAGTGGTGGAGAACAATATACGGCATCCCAAAGTTATAGATATTTCTCATTCATTCTCTTATGGTTGAAGGCGATTGCTAGAAAGTCCTAGGTGACTTAGATTTCCTGATTATCAATACTAAGCAGTAAGGCGTACCTGAAATTTAGACAGGACCTATTTCTCCTCAGAGATTCATATTCACATCATTAAGTGACATTTTGGTCACCGAGCGGACATTAGTTTTTTTTGTCTTGCAGAAATGCCGTGTTAACAAGTGAAGTGTGGCGACTCAAACCGCTGCACACCGGTGCAAATTTCTATGTTGAGACCAGACAGACAGTTAACAAGCACCAGTAAGCATGACACCTAATTTTAAAGTCATCTTCCGGTCGCCTTCAAACACCTAATTTCTTTTTGAGTAGCTTGACAACTGCCACTCCGCGATTCAGTTCACGCCGGAGAAAGAGTCGAACTCCAAAATACCCTTTCTTGACATCCAACTAACAAGTCGAGAACAGGATGGAGCACTGAAAAGATCTATCTACAGAAAGTCGATGTAGAACGGACAGCTTACTAACTTTCACAGCTGGGTACCTCTATACACCAAACGAAACCTGATCCGTTCATTCAGCTACACAGTTCGCAAAATTTGCATCCCGGACACCGTAGCAGATGAACTGGACAATCTCAAGAGAATCCTCGTCGAGAACTGTTATCTAGAAAAATTTACTGCAAAATCTATGAATCCTAGACTACAAAAGCCGCCTATGCTTAGCGTCTCGAAAAAACTACTCTACATGAATCTTCAATTCGATGGAGATATATCTGCGGAAACACTAAAAATCGAATGTCGCACTCACTTAAGAGGACCATCTTCGCAGCTGAACTACGACTAACCTTCTCCACAAAACCTATGATTCATATGAACGTGAAGGATAAGCTCCCACTACTGGCCTCATCAATATGCGTCTACCAATTCACCTGCTCGTGTAAAGCCAGGTATATCGGCCGTACCCAGCCTTCGCTTTCCAAACGTATCACCGAACACTTGCCAACATGGTTTTACAAAGGAGAAAAACAATGTCCCCGCAGCTCCATCTTAGAACATCTGATAGAATCCGGACATCCCAAACAAACTTCAAAGTCGTCTACAGAATAAGTAGTCTTCCTAAGAGTGTACGAATTAGACTTCTTCAAACTGCAGAAGCAATGGCGATTCACTTGCTAAGCTCTGAACTCTGCATACAGAAGAAGTTCGTTCAATCACTACACTTGCAATGGGCGTAATCTATCTTATTACCCGACAAGTAAACTCTACCTAATCTTTTTTTGTCTGAGTCTTCATTAGTATTATTTTGTCTTCTCAATTGTAATATTTTACATTTTCAACCTTCTCGTTCTTTATTCGCACCCGATTTAATTTCTGCACCTCACACTACCACTGTTTACTGACTTGACCAACGCTCAATTTTTAGTCATTCATGTTACCTTATCCAGCATACTTGCTCAATTTCAGTTCTAATTTAAATGGCATTATTCACCACCCCACTTCTACTTAGTCTCTACCTGTTGTAATTAACTCTGTTGCTACCCTGACCTAAGTTGAAACATTTTAGTCAATTATATTACGTCATTTAACTTGCTAACTAACTCAATCTTACTTTAGTTGCTGTCTAATTAACCTTGTTTCTATATTAGATCGTTCTTGTATTACCTCGTCAATTATCTAAACTCGACGAACCTCATGTACACACACAAATAATTATATATAAATTGGATTGTACAGCTATGTGAATGAAGTCGCCGTCGAAAAGAGTCTCTTCGCTGAACGTCTTCTCTTATTTTCTTTTATTCCTTCGCGTTCCTAATGGGACATAGGGCTTCAAACTACCAGAGCTTTGAAGTCTCGATAGCAGCGGTGTTTATCTTTACAGGGTAAGATTGCTAGCCATACACCCAGACTTTCCCCTTTATCGGTCTTGCCTACCGCCTCGGCCGGGGATTGAAACCCGAAACCACATGACTAGCTGGTGAGCAGATTACCACCGAAACACCGACGACGCAGGATCACCTAACATAAATTAAAAGTACAAGGGCTATCAATGGTAAATCACCTGACTGGCTAATCAATATGTGCCTATCTTGCTCGAGAATAATGTCAACAAACAAAACACACGAACTAAACACAGTTTCTTGCCAGTACCACCCAGAATAGATTTTTTTATGTTCCAGGCCACACGTATTTTGTGATGATCGCTGATGATACTAGTCAGCTAGGCTAAATTCAGTGGAGCAGGAGTAAACAAACTTCTACAACTCGCTTGATCTATGATAGTAATCGCAATAAAGAGAGGGAAAGTTGACGGTGAGCCGGGGGGGGTCTGTGAGGCTAACTAGCGACCCTACTCTGCAAAAAAAAACAATACCACAGCTACTGAAACTTCGAAATTCAAGGTCGAATCTGTATGTTCCACTCGTAGTGTAAAAAAGGATCTCGGTTATAGGTGGAGCCGGAGTGAGAACCCATCGGGCCGACTAAACCAATGCATCATAACTCCACTACGTAAAATATGTAAGGATAACACTTACCAGCAAGATTATATTCTTTAGTTAACATAATATTCATTGCTTCTTGGGTATGATTCCAATGTGTACGAATTATACTGAATAATTGATCACGTTCTACACCCAATAATAAAACCACTGGTATATGAATATATTTCATTAAGTCATTATTATCATTATCGCCAGACATTGCAAACAACGGACCAATTTCACTTGATGTTTCAGGTTTATTATCAACCACAATGACGCCGATAGCACCAGCCTAATAAATAAGAGATACATAGAAAGGTGAGAAAAGAAAACACAAAAGCTATAAATAACCCACTAAAACACCTTTAAAAAACACTCATATCTCAGCACGGATACGGAGGGTTCGTTTCTCATATGCCAGTTTACGCCATCCCTGTCTTAGTAGATGTGATATGCGGTTAACTGTCGACCAAAGGTCGTGTGTACTGCTCATCAGTCAGCTCGTTCAGTCCTCCTTTATGGCTGTGAGACATGGCCATTGAGAGTGAAAGACATTAAAAGGTTGGCTAAGCTGTCTTTGATCACAGGTGCCTGCCTTCTATCTCGAGATGGTGAGAACCAATGAAGGCTGGAGAAAATTGGTAATATGGCTCAAAATCGTTCTCAATGACTGGCTCAGATACATCCACTCCTTGTGACTTATAATTTCCAATAAAACTATATTGTTCTTTGGTATTACTATTCCTTTTGTCTTATATCCCTATATATTGTCTCTATTTTGCATTTCTTCTACTTTCTTCTCTTGCTTCGTGTGCTACGTGGATGGTGTGGCGACTTGAGGTGCTGCACATCGGTGCAAAGATCTCTGTTGAAAACAAGCAAACAGACAGACATATCTGAATAACTTATGAATTACGAGAGTATAGGCGGTACTACACGGTGTTTTTAACGGACGCTACTATAAACTATATCAATGATCACCGCTTCATTTAATGACATTGAAGATAGGTGCAGCAGGTCAGGTGTGAGGACATTGGCTTGGGGTCACGCTGTGTCGTGAATTGGTACAAGTTAGAATTCATGGGCCATTGGATCGGGTCCCAATGGCTTAATGGTATACGAGCTCGCCTTGTAACCAGAAGGTCCTGGGTTCAAACCCCGGTGGGTGCGTACTGATGAAGAGTCCCAAACTACGACGAAGCAGCTATCCAGTACTCGCAGGTTTTCCAATGGTTCTTTGACTAATGTCAGCTCATGATGAAATCCTGTAACTGAAGATCGGATAGTTGGGCAGGCAGGATGGACAAGAAAAAAAGCGAACCTTTGGAGTAGCAGTAAACTAGCCGACAAACTTTTATATGCCTAACAAATATGCAGAAAGAAATGGCGAAGGATGGATTTGACATATATACTAAGAGTGGGTGACACATCACATGTAAAGCATACGCTCTCGAATGAAACCCGACTGGGAAACGACGAGTTGACCGTTGTTCCGAGGGGAGGGGAGCATAGAGGAGGAAATGAAAGTTTGTGGAAAATCGTGTAGTCAGCTAAAAAGATGTCAAAGAACCGAGTGTAATGGAGGTCAGCTCCTAAGGCTTTATGTTCCACTCGGAACCCAAGAAAAGAATAGCAATAATAATAATAATGCGGGCTAACTTAGTTGGTGGAAGTTAGTAGTAGATGCGTGTTATGTCATGTGTTATATATAACTCGTCGACTGAATACGCTTGCTTTCCTCCAACATGTGATTGTATTCCGATAGAGACTCGATCGAATCTAGAACCTATCTTATCAAACACGAATGAGAAAAAATGCCCATCTTGGACTTTCCGTGTTAGCCACGACTAAACACACGTAATTTCATCTACTGAATTTTTGGTTTACACAAATGATTAAGTAGATATGCTTCGGTGGTTCAGTGGGAGAATGCTCGTAAACCACTCACAGATTCCGCGGTCGATTCACCGTCGACGCACCTTTTAACGTCGCCTATTTTACCAGCCAGCAGCAAGACTGGAGAAGAGAGAAGTTTATGCGTGGGTCTAGCAACTTAACCAGCTTGTTAACATTTTGGTCGATAGGCACTTGGACTTATGTGAAAAATGGGCTAAATCAATTTTATCTATCTAACTCACACCATCACCCTCTTCCTTCACAACTCTTCCCTTGTATCTCATCAGGCAAAACCAGAAGCCTATATAGAAAACTATATGCTCGCACTAGCAAATACAAGAACTCAACCATGACCTACTTAGCTTGTGTTCTGTGCGACAAAGAAAGCATTAGGCGTGATACCTATAACTTATTAAATAGCCAGTAGAACAACTGGATCTCGTCTTTCCGACTCATATAATTTATAGGTACAACGTTCTCTTTCTTCCTTTTCCTTTTCTTTTTTCTGTTATATGCTGCTTTTTTTGTTTCTTCCTTACAAACTCTATTTAAAACATTTGTCTTCGTTCTTTCACACTCCGTATATCTCGACATTTTTGTTACCGCTTACACCAGTAAATATGCTACTATCTACTTTTCTAACACCAAACACTCTGTTCAATTTTTGGCTTTGCCAGCGACATGCCAAGATGTTGTTGTCAAAACTAACTGAGATTACCCTTAATCTACGTTGAATTTTATTTGTTGTTAATGCACTAACTGGATGCAATACTGTAGTAAAATGCCGAGAATTCCATTCCATTAAATTATTAGAACTTAGCCCCTGGATAACCTGCGAGGGGATTATGGTCGGGAGTAGATCCTCAGGACAGTATCCCTTAAGGCTTCTCCAAACTGAAGTCTTTGATAATTTATCATCTTTAAAATTGCTCAGCAAGATCAATAAGCGCAAAGTTGTCGGCGCGGCCACGAAAGTATCAGTATTGCACCCATAATTCAGTTGGGAGCAACACAACCTATGATTTCAGATACCTCTCCTTTGAACACCAAGCTAATCATTGTTACGCCTTCATCCCCGGAGAGAATGTGTGATCATTTTCCTGAGGAAGGTGAAGCATTAGGCGTAACTGGTAACTCGGATGTGTATGCCTAACTCATGAATCGAACCCTACTTGAGGAATATCGTCGACATATACGGTGTAGGAATGTCCAGTTCAACAGGGAAATGGTTGTGTACGACCTATACGTGTCATGCATCTTTGAGACTCTCTTGAGAGGATTTTCATGATGCGCTGGTGGTAATGTACCATCTGAGAAGCGACTCATGAGGAAGTTGAAGTCATATAGTGGGGGGAGATGACATTAACCACTCTGAGGAAGCGTTAGAAGGATATTTGGCACAGGGTTTCTATTTTCATTAACAAAAGTATGTCCTACAATGTTGTTTTTCTATGATCGAGATACAGCTTCAGCATAGAGTGTAGAAACGCCAATATATACTTGCTCTTCTATCGACGCTTTGCCCAAAAATTAACGTAAACACTTAGATAAACGCATAAGCAACTAACTGGGATATAATATTATCAACTGTCAAATAATAAGTTTGACTCTTCGTCTGGTATATAAAAAATGACTATTATTATATATGGTCAATAATTATTTCCCTCACTTACTTGTGCTAAGTGATAAGCTTTTTCAACGAAAACACAACCCCCACGACGAACAATACCAATAGAACCGACCATAGGACCTTTACTATTTTTCACCGTTATATAACTATCTGACGAATGAATTGAAGTATTCTGTTGTCCTCCAGTTGGATTCTGATTCCATATATCATTCTCTGGTGGATAGGCATAACCATATTCTGCGATTGGTTTACAAGCATCGATAGGCTCAACAACGTGTACAGGACCTATTAATGGTGTCCAAGTTGAATTTACAGACGACGCCTTCTCTGCCTCTGCCGCTGATGGTGTTGACTGTTGCCTGTTTTGACTGTCCTGTTGACTGGATGGTAATTTTTCACCAGGGAATAGACCAAAATGTGCAGGACAAGCAGTAAATTTAGTGAAACCATAACTTGGCGAATTCATGACAACTACATGACGACCTTGTACTGAAAGATCTAAAAGAATAATAATAATAAAGAAAAAAATAATATGACAATAGATAAACTGCATATTGTAAGCACCCTTCTTATGCTGAATTATGGTTCATACCTCAGATTAAAAGGTTAAATGTAAACTTACCCTGTTACCCAACGCTATGAACGAAGGGGTGCCGGGGGGGCGACTATAGGATATCCGAACTTTAAGTTCTGAATAGACAGCAGTTGAAGATTATTTATCGTTGTTCCCTTGGGTTCCAAGTGAAACACACACGGCTTCACTTCCTCTCTCATCTTCTCCTCGCACGACCTCCTCCATGTCATCCTCAAAGTGATGCCCCACTCGTTTCCCATTCAGGTCCCAGTGGAGCAATGACCTACATTGAGCATAATGCCATTCGACAGTCACCCCAGCGTGTACCCAATCGATCTCCGATTTCTCATACATATTTGTTGAGTAAGAGGTTCTTGGTTAGTTTGTTCCCAGCCAGAGTTTCTTGTTGTGAATTGTCTCCGGCCATTTGGTATTCAGTATAGAGCGAAGATAGTGGTATAATATAACACAAAATTACGGATTACTGAATTAGGAGCCCGAATTCGAACACCAATCGAATTGTAGAGATAACAGTATCAACAACCACACCATCACGCACACACACCAATAATACGTTCGGCATATTGTCAAGCTCAATTAAGAGTCAACAGTTGTCGGATAATACACACAGTCGTTTCAAGTTTGATCCTAAACTGGCTTCAGTTAAAGATCTGTAGAAAATTAGGCAGTACTATAGAGGAGTTTCGTCCAGGTTTAGGACTCTGTATCAGTAAGCACTCATGACTCCATCAAGCAAGGATTGAACTCATAAGCCTTCAGGTTACAAGGCGACCCATCTACAGGGATAAAGTTCAATGGCTTATGGATTCTAACTTCTGTCAACTCACGATTTCTAACATCATCATCGTCGACAAATATTTGTCTTCATACCCAACTTGGTAAACACCTCTGGTCACGACTTCCCACTATAACTCACTGATCTGGAGTAAACCGAGTACCCCATTGATGAGATCAGCGCTAAAAGACAGGGAAAGTCTCTTGCATGTCAACCTTGAACTCACAACAAACTCTTCCCTTTCTATTCGTGATACTACTTGACAGTCTCTTCAGTATGTTTTCATCAATCCACCCCTCTTCATTTCTTTCCGCATATTTATTCAACAATAGGTTCTTGGTTGGTTTGTTGGCAAAGTCCCCTCTTGCCTATCCTGTCTAGCCATCCGATATTCTGTAAGGAACGAAGGTATCCGTTTATCAAAGTCTGAAGCCTGTTGGAAATGCCTTCGGTGACACACCAAGTCTCTGAACCATATAAAAAGCACCGAGTGATTTGATATTGGTATTGAAAATCCAAATTTTGTCCTTTATGCTGAGTGCAGAGGATTTCTAAACTGATTTCAGATTTATCAATGTCTCTCTTGCCTTTCCAACACTGTCCAGCTTTGACATCACCATCCGTCTTGTCTCTAGTTGAAACAAGGTAGCCCGAGCAGGCGTAAGAGACGATGTCCTTTAGATGATTCCTCCCATTGGTGCTTATTGTTGCTCTGTCTCCTCCATCTTTACTTGGAGTCTTGTCTTCGTTGTTTCTTTTGTCAACTTGTCGGTTTTCGTCTACAGATGTTTATGTTTGTCTGACATTCGACATAAATCCTCCACGAAGCCCAAATCTACTGGTCTTCTTACAACGTAAACGCATCTTCTCAGTCATCACGGTGAGCGGCATAAACTAGTTCAACACAATCAGAGATAGGAGGCAGTCTTGTCTTACTCCTGTTTTTCATTCAAAGGCTTTGCTGATGATAGTACGTGATTCATTAGGACTCAGATTACTCGGAGATAATATTTCCTCATGTACCAGGGGGGTCATGAGTCACACTTATTATGTAGGCGAGGGATGGTAAATAGCCTTCCCCCCCCCAATTGCCTGAACAGATTGAAGTAGATAGAGTGGGACTGCAACCTGGCTCCTAATGGCTAAGAAATCGAATGTCTCAGTCTACTGAGAGACATCATCACAAGTGATAGGCAAAGATTTAAATTCATAAATCTACTTTAGTTGAAGGATGATATATACGCAAACATACACACACAGGCATTGGTAGGTAATCAGTGATATACAACAAAGAAGAGAGGATAAAGGAAGAACAAAAATGAAAACATTATTATAGAATAATCTGAAGTGTATAAACTTACCACTGAAGCTATACTTCCTGTTAGTTAAAGCAATCAACTCTTGTATGAATAGAATACCTGCAGCAGCCAAATCAGAATCTTCAGCCTTAATAAACAGAAACAGAGAGAGAGGGACAAAGAGAAATAATACTGCAAAACACAAATATAATATGTCTATACTTATAATAATGTAGTGTAATTTAAGCAAACGGTACATGTCAAGTGATCCACAACGGAAAACTCAGCGAGGCGTTTGGAGTAAACACAGGAGTCAGACAAGGGTGCTCACTATCACCAATGATATTCCTAATTGTGGTGGACTGACTGGATGAGGTATCAAACAGTGGGAAACAAGAAGACGGAGATATCCTGGACCGACCGACCTGAAGAACTTAGAAGACCTGGATTTCGTGCGTGGATGATTTATGTTTGATGTCACTGTCACAAAATCGAAGACTTACAAGCGAAAACCGACAAACTGGTCGAAGAAGCAGACAGTGAAGACAGGACTCCAGGTAAACATAGACAAGATGGAGGTTATGAAAATAACCAACAAACCAACAACAACAGCAGCAACATCCAGCGCCAATCACCATCAACGAGAGGGATTTAAAAGAGGTTACTTCATTCATTCACTTATCTAGGGAACATTGTCTCAACTACAAGAAGTCGGAACGGACGAGGGTGTCAAATCGAGCGAGAATCGGGAAGGCGAGAAACACATTCATCAACCTGAAACCAATCTGGAAATCTTCGTCACTCAGCATTAACAACAAAATTCAGTCGGATCTTCAATACAAACGTCAAATCAGTTCTTCTATGCGGATCAGAAACTTGGTGGGCGGGTCACAAAGAATATTTTCAACAGCCTGTTGCAGAACTTTATCAACAACAACTGTCTTCGCTCTATACTGAAGATCAATCAGATGGCCGGAAAGAATCACCAACAAGAAACTACGGGAAGAAACAAAACAAGAATCAATCACCCAACAAATATGCAGGAGAAAGTAGAGATGGATCGGATACTCGCTCGCTGAGGAGGCCGCTGGGTGACATCGCGCGCGCGTCAGACCATTTCTCGAGTGGAACCCGAAAGGGAAGCGGCGAGTGGGACGTCAGTGCAAGGGTGACATGGAGGAGATCGTGTGAAGAGGAGGAGTTGAAACAGTATGAACTAACATGGATGGAGGTGAAAAGTACAGCAGAAGACAGAAGTGGCAAGTGGAGACGTGCAGTTGAAGCCCTATGTTCCACTAGGAACCCAAGGGAACAACAACAACAAAACAACAATTTAAGCCAATAGGAGTTTATGTCCATAATTTTACGGGATTAAAACAGCTGACTGCTATTAGGACTCTTAATTACACAGTAACTATTTCCAGGACAGGAATATGCTAGACCACCGGTAAGTAAACTCTAAAAGATCTGGATTTCACAGATGATATATGTCCAGTGTTACACAAACTAGAAGACTTGTGGGCAGGCGAGAACCAACAAACTGTCAGAAGAAGCAGCCAGAGAAGACAAGACTCCAAGTGAACGTATAGAAGACGGATGTGATAAAGATAACCGACCGACCAACCAACAGCAACAATAACCAGCACTAATCACCGTCAACGAGAGAGTTTTCAAAGAGATTACTTCCTGCCCTCACTTATCTAAGAAGCACAGACAGGTGGAACGGATGAAGATGTCAAAGCCAAATAGTGTTGGAAAGGCAAGACAAACCTTCATCACTCTGAAATTAGTTTGGAAATCTTCTGCTTCACTCAGCCAACCAGCATAAAAATCAAGATTCGGATTCTACTCAACCCATATATGAAATCAGTCAGTCATTCTTCTATACAGGTCAGACACTTGCACTGCACGTGAGTCACGAAAAGGATTTCCAACATGTTACAGACCTTGATCAACAGCTGCCACCTCCGACGGCTGACTCGATAATGTAGATTGAATGGTCAACCAGAAAGAATTTGCCACAAGAAACTCTGGCTAGGAAAAAACTAATAAAAACGAGAGCCAATAGCTAAACAAATATGTAGGAGGAAATCGAGATGAATCGGGCATACGCCACTGAGGAGGCAGTCAAATGACATCGCGCTCCAGGCCTTTCAATGGAATCCAAGTGGGAAGCGACGAGTGGGACGTCAGTGCTAGGGTGACATGGAGGAAATCGTGTGTTGGGGAGGAGGAGATGAAACATTATGGTCAATCGTGGACCCATTTGAAGAGGACATCACAAGAGAGAACAAAGTGGAGATGTATTGTTGAAGCCATATATTCCTTTCGGAACCCAAGAGAATAATAATATTATAATATATAATATATTGTCAGGACTAACTATGACAGTAGATAATGTGTAGGAATTTGAGACAGTGCCGCTGAACTAGTGTAAATGAATGATTATGCCATCATACAAGAAGGGAAACAAGTTTTTTCGTAATAATCAGGGGCGGGATAAGCTTAACTAATATAGTGTATAGAGTTCTAGGCTCAGTAATTACACGCAGACTAAGTGGTGTTTGAAAGAAACGAACCCAAGAAGATCAAACAGACTTTAGTCTAGGAAGAAGGTGTATTGATCATAAACTTTCACTCTACGACAAAATCTGGAACACTGGCATCCTTACTGATCATATTTCTTGACGTAAAGGCGGTATTCAAATGAGTCGACAAAACGGTGGTGTGGTAATGTCTGACAGTGAAAGGAGTATCGAGAAGCCGTGACAGCTAGTGACATGCGGATCAAGGAGCCCAGTACTCCTATTTCTATTGGATTTTATCGGAAATTTACTAGAGCAATTGACGCTAAATGATGTAGACTACTTAGGGATTCATTATAAATTATTTAAATTAATCCCAGCGTGTTAAGAAAATCAAAACAAGATTTTTCTGAACGTTTTGCCGTGTCAGCCACAGCTTCTTCAGCAGATTTATTCGGATTATAATTAATCATCAAAATATATAGTCAAAAAATTTTTTACATAAAATGAAGTCAGTTTATTTGAAGGTCATTTCTCCATGAACATTTTTTTACCAATAGAAGTATGTAAGCTGTCCTCACATATATTTGTAATGACTAATGTCAAATTGTTGTTGTGTTTACTCTTCTATAGTTGACTTGTAAAGATTAGATTTGTATGCGTGTGTGTGTATGTATGTTATTTGTCATATGGAAAATACGTGAATTCATATGTGATAAACGTGTCACTACATGTTTTAAAGGTCATGGAGGCTCATAGAGTGTTTGTTGTTTTTTCGTTTGTCTTGCTTCATAATCAATCTGACTCGGCGCTCAAATTATTCCAGGAAGTTCGTAACACCTACGGTCTGGGAAACTTATACTAAGGGATTGACTTGTTACAAGGGAACAGTCTCGTCAATTTTTAAGCATGTGGACGATATTGTCCGGCAACTTTATCTTTGGCCTAGACGTCATATCCGTCTGTTTATCGAACAAAGGAATGAGCAGCAGTCACCTCTACTCTTTCCTTATGATCGTTGAAAGTGGAATATCTGTGGAAGTTATTTGTCTTTGATCACAGATGTTTACACTTTATCCAACATGTATATAATGATATAATATGGTAAATAATATAAGGAGAACAAGCCAATCGATGAAGTTGTGAAGTTGTACCGATTGAGATGGCTAGGATATGTGTTATACAATGTTCAAGTTTCAATATACGTTGAATGTTTTGGAATATACTCTAACAGCGTTTACATTGCAATGTAAATTGATTGATTTAAACAAAACGAGATAAATATAATAAAGGTGTTTTTCTATTTCCCAATGAATGAGAAACAAAACGATATTGTTTTTACTGAGACTCTCAAGCACAACAACTACCCAAAGAACTTCATCTCAACAAAACCAACCCTGACATTATATGGTCGAAAACGTATTCCGAAAACATGGATGGACCTCAACAGTTGTCATTCAATATAGAGCAGAGACGTTAGATGATATCAGAGGAGTACTCAATAAGCACAACATCACAGTTTTCTTCAAGACATCAGATACATGCACTACAAAACAACCTTGTCCATATAAAAGATCGAATCCCTAAAGACTCTCTCTCTCTCTCTCTAATCGTGTCTATAAAATAAAATCCTTGGAATATGATGCGACATACATCGGACAAACATCAGAAGAAATGAACATCGTAGAGTCGCCTCTGTTCAATCACCGAGAAATACAGTTGAACTAGAAAAGCTTGAAAAATCATCAGTCATAGGTCGTCTACACACCACGCTATGGAGTCAGGCCACAAAATTAATTTTGACAATATTGAAACCATCCATTATCCAGAAGAAGCATTTCAGAAATCACAAAGAACGTCTAATATCATCAGAAACACTTCATATCAAATGGAGTCCAAATTGTGTGATCTGAATAGGAATGATGGACTAAAACAGAATTTGACCTGGTTACAACACACACACACACACCCTCACCTTCCCCATGAAGTGACAAAATCAACACGAATGTGATAAGTAATTTCATTATGTAAACACACATGCCGCTTTTACAATTTTACACACTTATCAAATCCAACAATCTACATCTGGTTTTGTTATCTTAACCCATTGGTCAGTTTGACAATGCAAAAATGCCCTCATGCTGAGGAACGATGATTAGGCTTTTGTATATATTTATAAGCTGAGTGGATTGTGTAAATTCTAGTTTAATAATACTACTTTGATAAAGCTATTAGCAGGAGCAATAGTGAATAGCGAAACGTCAGTAAGAGCGTCAATAATATCGTTTTACTCTTTTTCATTAATTGGCAAAAATACAAGAAAAACCCTCGTTATTATGATGAATATTATAAACCCAATGAGGAAATACTTTTTTTTCAAACTGTTAAAAGTGAACTTGGTTTGGACATATATAAAACAAAATTAAAGGTACTTCAACAGTGTGACAGATATCACAGTGAAGGCATGTGTGAACAACACGTGTACAAGAAATCGGTGTAAAATTATCAACAGTGAGTTATCACAGCAACATAAACTGGTCTTTTCTTTTAGAAAAAGAAACACCGTGCTAGTACTTACTACGTTAAGCACACACACACACATAAAATGTACACACACAGATAT